TTTTTAAAGATTTTATTTATTTATTTGACAGAGAGAGACACAGCGAGAGAGGGAACACAAGCAGGGGGAGTGGGAGAGGGAGAAGCAGGCTTCCTGAGGAGCAGGGAACCCAATGTGGGGCTCATTCCCAGGACCCTGGGATCATCGCCTGAGCTGAAGGCAGATGCTTAACGACTGAGCCACCCAGGCGCCCTGATAAAATTTTCAAGCTAGGTTTTATTTGAACAAAGGATGTCACTGATTTTAAAAATCAAAGTAAAAACTTGAAAACTTCAGGTCTAGAATACTTTCTCTGATATTTTCACCAAACACATGTCCTGTCTTCTGCCTGAACATCTTCTGAAAAAGGGAACTCAGGGGCACCTGGGTGGCTCAGTCGTTAAGCGTCTGCCTGCGGCTCAGGTCATGATCCCAGGGTCCTGGGATCGAGCCCTGCATCGGGCTCCCTGATCAGCGGGAAGCCTGCTTCTCCCTCTCGTACTCCCCCTGCTGTGTTCCTTCTCTCGCTTTGTCTCTCTCTGTCAAATAAATAAATAAAATCTTTAAAAAAAAAAAAAAGAGTCAGATGCTTAACCAGCTGAGCCACCCAGGTGCCCCACTGCACAGTATTTTTAACCCCATCTGTATCTGAATTTAAATCTTTTTCTTTCTTATCCAGCGTTCTTCCCTGAAATCTAGACTCTTTTCACCCTACACTGGACATCTCCAAATGAATATTGACCGGGCACTTGAAATTCCATGTAGTAAAAGTAAAATTCATCTCCTTTTCCCACATACCTGTTCTTCTTCCTCCTGTTTCTGTGACTGTCACTGGCATCTGCTCTATTGCCATTGTTAAAAATCCAGGAGTCATCTTTGATCACCCCTTTCTGTCCTATCCGATTGGCCATCAGATTTGTCATTGTCCCTTTCTCTTCTACTCTTTTATAGTTGTCTTCCTGTTGCTGTTGTTCTGTTTCAGGCCCTCCTCATTTCCTGCCTGGGCTGTTGTAGTGACCTTTAAAAATATGCTTTTATAATCAGAAAAAGTTAATATATTTTCACTACATGAAATGTTGAAAACACAGAAAAATCGAAATGAAGTCACCCATAGTTCTGGGATAGAATCACTATTAACATTTTAGTCTCTTTTTTCATGTATATTACTTCTTACGTGATTAAGTATTTCTGTATGTGCATCCTTTTCTTTATGTGTCCCCTTATGATTCTCCTGTGTCCATATTTTTAATAACACTTTTAATGATTGCCAAGAATTCAATTATAAGTAATAGCCTGGACAACTGGTCTCCCAGTCAGTCTGCCTTCTGATCTTTTCTAGTTTACTCATTAATTCAATAAATATTTAAATGTCCTCTACATATTCTATACCTTCTGAAGTGATGTTTCTTAAATGTAAATGTGATTATGATACTCCCTGCTGAAAATTCTACAGTGGCTTAGAGGCAGGTTAGCACAGTGAGAGTGGATTCTGCTGGACTCCCTGCTCAAATCTCAACCTTTAACATTTTTTTGATTTATAACTTTAAAACTTTCTAAGCCTCAATCTCCCTGTCTATAAAGTTAGGATAATAAGAGTATCTACATCATAGAGTTATTCTGAAGATTGTTTAAAAAAAAACTTAGAATGGCACTTTGTACACAGTAAGTACTCAATAAAAATGAGCCATTAAACCGTAGCAGCTCAGCTTTTATCTGTTTTATTGATATA